TGTTTGATCATTAATTTCTAATCTTCTCTTCACAAGAGTAAGAATTTTCTTATTCATTGCAAGATGACGTGAGTCAGTAGGAATCATATCATGATTATGCTCAAGGTTAACTGTGGTTAGTTTATATCTTCCATCCTTTTGTACACTACCTCGTACCCCTTGCTTTGCAACCAATTTTTGTAGACAAAGATGGCTTTAGAGGGTTGACTTCTGATTTTTTTTTTCTCTCCCCCTCGAGAACATTCAATTGCAAAGTTTTTTAATTGCCCATCATCTCCAAAATGCTGTGCTCTGTGAGCTATAGAAAATCCAACATGCTTAGCATATTTGCCATAAAATGTGTACACTTCTTCCCTTGAGCTAAAACACATACTCTTCTTAGGTTCTTCAACTTCTTCACCCCTCATTTACTAAAGGATTGTCACCAACATTTGAATCAACCTCCATTCTTTCACTTTGCATAATGAAATAACAATTTAATGATTTCAAAATGATTATATAACACAATGTCCAAACAAACACAATGAACCAGTTCCCTAACACAATGCCCAAATTGAGGACAAATACCGATTTGAACAAATATTAAAAAATGGAACTAATTTGAACAAATATTATGTGACTATCCCCAAAGTGTATGAACAAATATCAGCAAATTGAGATTATGAGACTATCCCCAACCCCAAGTGACCATATTCAAATTTGAGATTATGTGACTATCTCGAACCCCTTATCACATAATATTTGTTCAAATTGATTTTTAGGAAATGTCCAAATTTAGTCACTTGGGGTTGGGGATAGTCATATATGGAACTAATTTTTTAGGGAAATCTTATAGGAAGTTAATGAAACTGACTTTTTTACCTCATAAACTGTTATGGGAAGTTATATTTTGTTTAACTACTACAATTGATTTCTTACTTGGAGAGCAGGGAGAAAAGGTATACCTCATAAACTATCGATCCACAGTACGTGCGAGACAGAGACGGATAGCGAGACACAGACACGCAGTCGAAGATTGAGGACAACGATAGACAGAGATGCAGTCGAAGATTACATCTACCTCAGTTGCAAGATCATTTCGATTGTGTACATAGGAAAAACCAAAGTTTGAGTGGACAAAATTGAATATCGATGGATCTGTAGGTCGAGATAATGCTGGCTTTGGTGGTTTGCTTTGCAATTACAATGGTCATCATCGACAGCGAAGAGCTACGGTGGAGGAGGAGGATAGCAAAAAGCTATGGCGGCGACAGGTGAGGACAGACGAGGGAAGATGATTTTAGGTTTGGGCTCCCGCTAAATCCATTTTTTTTCCCTCACAGCTGCGTGCGTGTATACACCCTTCTTCCACCTCAGCTGCTAGCTCACTGGGGGTTCTGGGGGTCATGTTTCACTGGGGGTCTGTAGCGGAATTAACAAAAAAATTGGCTATCAAAACCAATGCCAAACGAAGCTTTAGTCATATTGGACCGAGAAGGTTTTTTTGTTATGAGTTCTTAATTTTTGATTTTCTAAACTTCTGTAAAATTTTAATGTAATTAAAAAAATAGTGGTGACCACTACTTCTCTTGAATATATAGGACTTGGATTTACTGAATATATTAGAAATGTTATCATGTGTTAGAAAAAAATAAAAATCCATTTGGTGCCAATGATTTTACCAGTTGACGATTTAAAAAGACAATGCGTGATGGATTGATTTAGGCTGTTTTACCTTCTCACATTATGAGAAGTTATTATTGTTCCAAGGACAGTGTCATGTGACGCTTCATATTCATTGTAATTGATAAAAAATGTAGAGTCACGATTTTGTATTAAATGATTGAAAAATATGAGGGGATATGGGAACATAATCACATAATGCCGTAGAATCAATCAATAATTTTTTTTCTAGGGCATTATGAACTCGTGGGGTTTTTTTAAACATCACTAAGATAGGTGTTTCCTAACCATTGACCCTATCTTAGTGATGTTTAAAAATGAGAAAGAAGTCATTGAAAATGGCGTGCTCGATGGGGGCATTCATAGTGAGCTCCGGCCTAGACATTTGTCTGGGGTGACACATGCACTTGACATTAACAAAAAGATTAATTTATTTTTGTACATGATTTTTTAACAATTTTTTACAAAATTATTTTTTAAAAATTTTAAAAATATTTTATAATATTTATTTTTTGTTAAATTAATTTTTAATTTGTAAAAGAAATCCATAAAATTGAAAAAGTAGAGGATAATTACTCCAACCAAAACAGAGAATTTTGATGGATGTTGCTTTGGTGTGTGGTATCACTTTTTATTTATTTATTTTTTATTTTAATTAAAGCAGCGTATAGTCTAGGCTACATGGTTGCTAGATGGATTGTAAAGAGGTAAGTGCAACAAGTCTAGGTCCCGAAGGGATTTGGGGAACGATCTGCTATGAAGTCGTGGGTTTTTTTTTCGTTTTTTTTTTTTTTTTTTTTTTGTTTTTGATAATTTAAACCGTTGTTATTGTACGATTTGTTGAATAAATCATCCATGTAAAAAATTAAATTAATTAAAAATCTATAACTTTATAACAAGAGTACATTTGTTTTTTAAAAAATAAACGGTTAACATTTTCTTGATGATTTTTATAAAAGAATTTGGATCTGATCATGGGGTAATGGATTTCTGATTAACTTGATTTTTTTAATGGATGATATGTTCAACGAATCCTACAATATGAACGGTTTAAATTATCGAAAAAGACTCGAAAAAAGTCTCCACAGATTCACAACAGATCGCTGCTATGATTAAGACATAATAGTATCCTTAGGTCCAGAACGGAGATGATGCCATGTAGAACTATCATCAACATCTTGCTAGATTTTGATCACCTTTTCAAATAACATTTGGTGTAAAGAAAGATTGTTTAAAGGCAAGGACAAAGAACATATGTACAATTTATAACCTTTTACTAAAGTTTGTATTAAATAATTAAAGTATTTATTCATTTTGGTGGGTGTTCAATAAAAAGAGTGGCACCAAAACCTCTATTTATAGGATTAGCTAGCAATATGGTCAACACAGAAAAGCATTTACATGTGCTTACAAGCCAGCTTTAGATTCACCTTCAAGTTTGGTACTTTGTTTTCCCACCCTTCAAGCAATCCTCCCAATAAATAAATTACCCAAAGCAAAGTGCTTCTAATATACGCATAAAACTCATCACGCCTACACTTTTATCACAAAGAATTCAATCAATCCTTCAAATAAAGAAATTGCCCTTCAAAACTCATCACACCTACACTTTTATTACAAAGAATTTGCTTATTGAAACATGTGGCCGAGAGTGATGAGCAATTTTTTGAGTGAATATATAAAAGCACTAAAGAAAAGACAAATAAAAATTACAATTGTACGAGCACGAAATAATATTCTCGTATAATCCTGTTGATTAAGTCTGCGCTCCTCCAAACATTGTCACTTTACTCCCTGAAAACACAAACGTGAAACGTGAGCTAGCCGGCGGGTGTATGCTGGATACCTCTCCGATACCTAAGTCAGCAAAATAGACAAATAGACAAAAGCTCTATGTATTCGAGAATCAAAGTTGTGTTACCTCTATACAGGTTTTGTTGTGAGCTTTTATAACTTTTGTCTGACACAATCCTAGTAGGACTCTTATTCCTCCATGTTTCACACTCCTGAAAGATAATGCTTATCCTTTAACACCCTCCTCACTGCTTAAACCAAGTGAGATGGTTTACCACGGTTGAATAACAATATGATCGTGCTAACACTATCTCTTTTGCACACTCAAATCTGGTGCCTTCATATCACCTAGCTCGGTCACTATTCTCTTGTACCTTGGTTTTGGCCGTTTAAACAGAGCTAACTACAGTGGTCTCTGACCGAGTTAACAAGGACGAGGTTCAACTTACGAGGCCCAAACACCCCGCCCCATAGCTCGGTCTGAACTTCTCCTGGCCCAACTTCGTTAGTTTTTAGACCGGGCTACAGCAGCACCTACTTCAGTCCGACGTGCGGCATAACTTACAAAGAAGCCTTTAGCTTGACCCAATTTACTTATAAATTACTCTCTCAACAATGATTACATGAGTTTAATGAATAACAAAAATTTTTAAATAAAATAAAATGAACACTCATGTTCTTATTAATTTAATTATATTATGTTAAGGGAAAAGATATTTGTTCATTTGTAATCTACTCCATATAGCAAATGTTTAACTTGGTATCTTGAAAATTTCTCTTTATGTCAAGTAGAGTGGATCTCAAATCTAAAACCTTAAGTCTAGTTAAGAAAATTTTTATCACTTGAGTCACATATAATATATAATAAATTTTTATTTTATTTTTACTTATTTAAATTACACACACATTTCATGTATCAATTGTGAGTTATATAATCTGATAAGAGAAAAGATATTATTATGGAAAACTCAAAAAAATTTGTTATGAAAATAATGTGACTGTGATGTTTATGTATTTAATAATCAATTTGATGGATTATTTCTTTTAACGAAACAAAATGTCATGTTGGGCTTCTGAGGACCCACCATGGAGTAACTATCAATAATTTAAATTATGTAATGTGTAGAAATTGTCGAATATTTTATTCTTGTAAAAAATTACATTAATTAGATATCAATAACTACTTGATCAAATCACACTTATGTTAATAATTTATTTTTTAAATCATAATTAATGTTGACATAAATTTGATTTGTTCAATTGACCATCGATATCTAATTAATGTAATTTGTTACAAGAATGAAATATTTGACGAATTCTAAATATTAAACGATTCAGATTATCAATATAGACTCTGTAATAGGTCACAAAGCCCAATTTCGATTTTGAATTGGAGAGGAACTTGAACCTTATTTTAAAATGATAAAATCATTTTATATAATTTTATTATATAAATCTTCTATTTATATAACATTATTTTAATTTAATTAGTGATCGAATTGCCTAACCCTTAAAGCAAACACCTGATGAAGACATGAACACACTCCTCACCATTTTAGTGCTAGAAAATAGAATCAGAGATTTTTTTTCCCCACCTGTCCCCGTGACTTCCCAACTGCTAAACTCATCAAAAAGAACCAAAACCAACAAAAATAACATAAAACAAACACAATGCAAGTGAGAGGAGAACACTGAAAAAACCAACAAAAAAGACAATGCAAACACCACCTCCGCCACCGCCCTCCGCCACCGCCACCGCCGGCGCCGCCAAAACCACCACAATCTACATCTTAGCCACAGCCCTCTTCTCTCTCCTCTTCATCCTCTCTCTCTCCTCCTCCTCCACCTCCTCCTCCCCATCCTCACCTCCACCACTCGACCCATATCTCTTCCCAGACAAACAACCCCAGAGTAATCCCAACCATCGCCACCGCCTCCTCATCCGCAACCAACGTAACACCACCAACAACCTCTCCGACCCACCTCCCCCTTCTCCTCCCTCCCTCGCCTACCTCATCTCCGGATCCAATCGCGATTCGGGTCGGATCCTCCGCCTCTTGTTCTCCGTCTACCACCCCAGAAACCACTATCTCCTCCACCTCGATCTCCCCGCTTCACAGTCCGACCGTGACTTCCTCGCTCTCACTGTTCGTTCGATTCCAGTTTTCAGAGCTGCCCAGAACGTCAATGTGATTGGGAAGGCCGATTTTGCGTACCCCAAAGGCTCGTCTGGACTTTCTTCTACGCTTCACGGGGCTTCGATTTTGCTCAGAATTTCTGGGAATTGGGATTGGTTCATCAATCTCTCTGCTTCTGATTACCCACTTGTTACTCAAGATGGTTTGTTTGTTTGGTGACTCTGTCTGGCATAATTTTTTCTGAATTGGGTTGAAATCTGATTTTTTTTTTTCCTTCTTCCTTTTTGGGTTTTCAGATCTCCTTCACATTTTGTCTTACCTGCCTAAAGATCTTAATTTTGTGAACCACTCAAGTTACATTGGTTGGAGAGAGTATGAACATGGACTTCCCAATTCTTTTTCTTCCAATTTATGTTGTGTGTGTAATTTGATCAATGTTGAATTTTAGTAATGTGATTTTTTTGTTGTGTTGTAGATCTCGGAAGTTGAAACCCATAATTGTTGACCCTGGGCTCTATCTTTCGGAGAGAACCGCGATGTTTTATGCTACTCAAAAGCGCGAATTGCCAGATGCTTTCCGGTTGTTCATGGGTGAGTCTTTGGTTTCTATTAGTTGGTATTCAAATTATTGTAGTATAGATTTTGAGTTACACATTACACTGAATGCTAAGTACCCATATACTTGTCTGATCTTCAAATGCATATATTGCTAATAATTAGTATGAGAAATTTGATGCTGATGCCCAATTATAAATAGAAATGAATTCTGAATATACATGCTTTGGACATTACACCATTTTTGAAATTGCCTCTTTTTTTTGAAGAAAACAAAGAAAAAAAAAACACTATACTCATCTCCTAAAATACATTCTATACAATCATTGCTCTGTCCTTGGAGAGTTATCTTTTTAGCAGTTATTAGCCAGACTCATGTAGATATTTGAACCTTTCTTGAGATTTCTTTTGGAGACTTTGGTGGACACAGAGAGCTGAAACTATATCACATGTCTTGTCCTGCCTATGATGTGGCTACTATTTGTTTCAGAGGATTTCACTTATCTTTGATGAGAAGGATTCCCTGCTTGAGGATAATACTGGAGGAGTCAAATTTGGGTGTCAAGTTCAAAAGAATTCAAAGGAATGTTTCTTTTTTTGATTTTATGAACTGGTGTTGTCCGTTCTCTTTCCTTGTATACTAAAGCTGCTTCTCTCTTGGGGAGGCTATCTAAAAGGAAGACCTTTAACTCCATTTACATTGGGTGCTGGGGAATTACTGAATGGGGGCAATTTCCAGAGATGAAGCTATAGTTCTTGTATACTTTAGATGAGTTGGCATTGTGTGACTGAGCCAGATATCGTGCACTCTTGGAGAGTCTATGACTAAGAAGTATGGACACGGCTACAAATGCGGACACGGACATGAACATGGACACGGACACGGTGGGAATACGACAATAAAATATATTTTCATATATTTTTATTTGCTATCTAGATTAATATTACATTAACAAATAATCAATATTAATAAAAACTAACTTTAATTCTATTTTTTTTTTCTTAAAAAACACTTTTAAATTAACATTTACAATTTATATATTTTTTTATAGATGATTTATTAAGTATTTAATCTAAGTAAAAAATAATAAATATTCAACATTCATCAAAAGCACTAAATAAAATGGGAAAAAAAACAACTTGACATGTCCCTAGTGTGTTCCTGAAGTGTTCTCGGCGTGTCCCCTGAAAATAAATTAATTAAATAAGGGGATACGTTGTCCCATATGTGTCCCCGAATTGTCTGTGTGTCCGACACAGATACGGCACTTGTTTTGAAGTGTCGGTGCTTTACAGGTCTATGAGAAGCAGCTTATTGCATTTTAATCTTTGTATGTCGAGGATGATCCTAGATCCTAATGTAGTTGTTGGATGGTGAAATTGTGATCCACTAGTTTGTGGTGCCTTGCTGATAAAAAAAAAAATAATTAAAATTAAAAAAAAATTGTGGTGCAGCCTTCTTGAGGATAATTTAGTCATGTATGATTCTCTGGGCTTAAATTTGTTGTAGGTTAATTGAATGAGATAGTAGATTTTTTGGCTACCTTTGATACATTTTGACTTGCATGTTTAACCTAAGAATTTAAAGTTGAGAGTTTACATATGAGGTCCATATGTAGGTCCCCACAAATAAATTAGTTGTGCGTCCTGTAAAACATGACATACAGATGCATGTATGGTTTGTGTGCAGAGCTATAAAGACACACTTTTGCCAAACTCATTTTCAGATTTGTTAAATGCAATACGTGGATGTGAAGTTACTGGGTTGCTGTTAGCAAAATTATTTCCATTCATTCTTTCTCTAGGATGTGATAAGTATGCTTCAATGTGAAAGATTACTTTGGGAATCACCATAATTTGAGCTTTAATAGCCCAGAGAAGTTTAAGCTGTAAAAGAAAGAGTTGTAGTAAAGTAGAGAGTAAGAAACTTACAGCCCTTGTGGGTTACATGGAGACCATGAAAGTGGCATGCTCACAAGCACTCTTGTAGCCAAACCCTATTGGTTCAAGATGCACTATGGGAGTCGTAGCAAGTTATAGTGGTTTCTGACTTTCCATTCATCAACTGAAGCCTGATTTTGAAGTGTCTTATCTTAAATTGGTGCTGTGATCAATTATGGGGCATGCCCAGAGAGTTAGAATCGTTGCAATTTTGTGAATTCGCTCTTTCAATGTGAACTTGTTACATATGGAGACCTTAAATGTCATTAGCTTACTATTGATACTTAATACTGATTTTTAATACTAAAACCTTGGTGAAGCATGCAAGATCAATAACATAATTTGGTATTGTAGTAAAAGTTGAAATGGGTTCAAATAACTGACAATTATTTGTCTTGTCTTAGAGCAGGTTCATCATCTTCTGTTTTGAGTCGTGAGGTTATTGAGTTTTGCATCTTGGGTACAGACAATCTCCCGAGGACTCTGCTCATGTACTTATCAAACACACCTTCATCGGCATCTGTATACTTCCCAACCCTTCTATGTAACTCTCAACAGTTCAATAAAACTATTATGAACCATGGTTTGCAGTACGCTTCTTTTGACACCAGACAGGAGGCCCGCCCACTCAAATCCAAGGATTTTCATGATTTCATCCAAAGTGGAGCGGCCTTTGCCTCACCATTTCTCGCTGATGATCCAGTTCTTGACCGCATTGACAGAGAAATTTTGAGACGCATTCCTGGCAAATTGGTGCCAGGTGGCTGGTGTTTAGGCGAATCTAAAAACAACACCTGTGATGTTTGGGGAGACGCTGATATTTTGAGGCCCGGTCGAGGAGCAAGAAGACTCGAAAAGCTTCTTGTTAAATTGCTCTCAAATGGGACATTTCGATCCCATCAATGTGTAGTGGAATAATATCTTCTCTTCCCCAGTCGATACCAGAGATAAGAAAGATGGACGAGAAAAAGAATTAAAGAAAGAGAAAAGAAGGGGAAGAAAAACTGAAAAGGAATGATACGCTTCGAATTGCTCTTCAATTATTTAAATTTTGAAAATTTTGCCGCTTAGGTTTAACTAGGCTGATTCTTTTATAGATGTGTTGTATGCTATAGCTCATCCAGTGGGAAATTGTTGTATATTGGATTGCGAGTTGCTATTGAAGCGAGGGCGGGATTATATATATTTTTTCCTCTTTTCTTTTTCTTCTCTGTAAAACATAAATGCTTGGTTAATGGTATTTTAATGGTTGACATGGAAGAACCATATTGAGCATTGTATGTTCACTGCCTGGAATCTCAGTGTTCTGGAGTTTGAGACATTCAACACATGCTTTGTTTCAAGAAGGCAACAAAGCAACATAATTCTAAGCCACTGATCTCTTGAAAACTATTTACTTTGAAAGCTCTGCCCCTCCCTGAAAGCATAGGAAATTGGTCTGTGTTGCAACTCCAATAGAGCCCAAAGAGCTTGCTAAAAAGAATTTTTCATTGTTGTATGAGCTTGCATCAACTAAACAGTAAAGTGAAAGGTTCAGTAGATGATTATGCTAGAGAAAGTCACCTTGGTTTCTGTGTTTGGGTCTTGGTAGGACTGCACGAATTGAGTTACTCATGAATAATTTGAGTTTGATTCATTTAAAGTTAGCTCATTTTATTTGTTAATTAAATAAGCAAATGTAAGTACATTAATATTTATTTTTAATAACATATCTAAGATGTTCTCTTTAATTTGTACTAGAAGATATGCACACTCACATGGGTGTGCTAAACCCCTAGATATGTTTGAATTTGGCAGTTGAAAGGGCAATTTAGTAACCAAAAACTATGAAAAAAAGATTCATATCAAGAACCTTGTTTGCTTTTTATAATAGTATAGATTATTTCTTTGTTTATATATTTTTCACTTAATTTGCCTATCAATTTAAATTTAATTTTTTTCCAGCTCAACCTCTGCTTGTTTATCAAATCTTTGACGAATCAAGTTTGAGCTCAGATTAGCTAGTTTGTAGCCCAACTTGGGTTTGTGGTTACAATACAATGTCAGGTGGCTCGAAAAATTATAGCTCGAATGACTCAAAATACTCAAAACGATGTCATTTTGGGTGCAAAATGACGTCGTTTTGACATTCAAATCATTCGAGCTACAAAAATTTAGGTTCCTAAACATGTTCGTATAAGATCCTAGACATTGTTGAAAGGAAATGGATAGCTTCTGTCAACTATACCTGTTTGGGTCCTGTACCTCTTTTGGATCAGTCTGAAGAAGAAATTTCCTTGAGAGTTGTTTTCTGGTTTTTGTTTGTTTCTCATACAAAACTAAACCAGTCTGATGCAGAAATTTCGTTGTTAATAAAATTTGTTTGGTGGTGATAGTCACATTTGAGCTATTGTACTACAAGTTTTTATTTGTCAGTCTTTAAAAAAATTAAAAAGTCAAAAAAACACTATTTTATTTAAATCACATTATCTTATTTAAGTTATATTATCTTTCTACCACATTACTTCAAACTTAATTCATACTCAACCCATCCTAAACAATCCCTTAATAATTGTTGTGTGCAGTGAAACCGCTAAAGCAAAATAAAGCAATTATTGAGCGGGTAGGTATGCGCAGGGCTGCTTCCCACATGGGTTAGGTTTTACACTTGAAAAAGGACTACAGAGTGTGCCACATGCTAATTACAATCCATGTTCTTGTTAGCCCACAATTATTCTAATTTTCTTGGCTTCAAAATAATTTTTAGGCTGCTTTTTAGGTGTTTTAAAGTTTTTTTTTTTAAAATATATTTTAAAAATGATAAACTAAAAACCCATAAAACGTAAAGACAAAAATAAAAAAGTGCAAAGAAAAGAAAAGCTCAAAAAATTGTTGACAAACTAGTCATGGTAGCAAAACGGACAAAACAAAAAAGTAGCTTTTTTTTGTTTTTATTTTTGGCGGGGTATATATAACTGTTTTTCGCTTGACACATACCGAATATATTTCGCTTGACACATACCGAATAATTAGCGGCAAGTATGGTTCGGATTGGATTAGATTGGATTGGGATAAAATTAGAACTAATTTGTTATTTATGATTTTTGAAAAATTGAAACTAATGCAATCCGTTTAAATTATGGAACCAATCCGAACCAATCCATTTAAATACGGATTGGATCGATTTAGGACCACGGATTCACATAATTAAATAACAAAAAAATATATATAATACTTTAATTTTATAAAAATATAAACATAGTACTATATTAGTTCCACAATAGCAACATCTATTTCTATAATAGCGACATATTGTGCTAGAATTTAAACAACCATAAGAAAACCGGTTTCACCGTAAGTATTTAGACCATTACAAATTAAAACTAAAAACTAACAAACAAAAGTAATAAAAGAAGATATTATACGGTTTTAGATTTGAGTTTAGATTTTATGTAGAATAAGAGAAGATACTATGGGGAGGATGTATAATAAAAATATATACTATTTGTATACGGTCTGGATCGATTCCAATCCGGAACGATGGGGTTCAATCCGGTACCAATTCGTGTACTACGAATTTTTAATTTTTCAATCCGAAATCGAACCATGGATTCAAAAAATCAATCTAAACTTATCGAATTAGATTGGACTGAATCAAATTACGAATTTCACAAATTCCTTACTCAGCCCTACGAATAATTATCATGCTTAAGTTTTGGGTGATCCGAAGGGAATTTTTATTTTATAAAGAAAAATGCTTGGGAGCACTAATTAGTGCTCCCACTAATTAGGTGGCAGTGGGTCCCGCTATTAATGATGTGATGTTTTGGTCTTGGAGTTATATTTTTTTATTTTTTTTTTACTTTTTTAATACATTAGTGCTATTAGTGGTGATGTTTTTAGTGGGATGAATCATTGTTGTTTTATAAAATCCAATCTGTTGACTTATGTGTCTTGTCATGCTTCTTACAGGCGAATTTATCAATGGCTAACCCTTTGGGATTAAGATCCTATTGTTTAACAATGTTTAACAACAATATTAACTTCAAAAAAAAGAAAAGAAAAAAAGAATGTCCTCAACATGGTATTGTTTTTCTCTTTTTTATTTATTTTTTAAACCCCCCTTCCTGCTCAACAAATAAAATTTGAACCAATGTAATCTCCTTCACCATGGCAAAATATTGAAAATTCTATTCAAAATCTTGATCATTAGGCTTGAAAAGTATGCCTAATTTTTGGATTTAAATAATGTCACTCTTTAAAAAAATATTATACAAACAAATTATAAATTTTATAATTTTTTCTTACTACTTGACGTATCATATAATAATAAGATTTTGAAATTAAAACATGACTCACTTCAATAATAATTTGACCGTCGGAGGGTGTTTCCGGCCACACACCGCCGGGTAGCTCACCGTTATTTGCTCGCAGGTGATCGGATATCGACGGAGCTCGGAAGAAAGGAATACGGGCACGCCGGAATATTTGCTCCCCGTACATATATCTTTTCAACATTTATGATTTCTTCGCTGGCATCTACATGTACACATTCAATTACTAATGGCCACTGCAGTTTGGATCTGTGTTATTTTAGTATTTAACTTTTAATTGTGACACATTTGATTCTAAATTTTAAATTTTATTTTAAATAAGGACAATTGAAGATATTATTATTCAATTTTAAGGGTAAAATCATCAATTTGATAAAATATAAATTAATTTGACAAAAATAAATGTTAAAAAAATATTTTTAATTTTTTAAAAATTATTTCTATCCACTAAAGATAAAATTATGTAAGATTGATAAATTTTTTACACATTTATTTATTTATTTATTTTACCAAATTAATTTTTATTATGTGTTGAGATGATGATCATGTAATGGGTGGTTATTTTTATTTTCATTAAATTAGTTTTTATTTTTCCAAAAGTCAAATATGGCGACAACTTTAATATCATTATTAAAAATCAATCCATTAAATCAAAAAATCCAAAACTAAAAATATTTTATATATTAAATATATCGATTACATATTAAAAGTCTAACAACTACCTATTGCATGATAATCATTCAAACACATAATAAAAATTAATTTGGTAAAAAATAAATAAATATCTAAAAGATTTATCAGTTTTTCATAATTTTATCTTTGGTGGGTAGAAACTATTTTTAAAATTTTAAAAATGTTTTTTTGACATTAATTTTTGTCAAATTAGTTTATATTTTATCAAATTGATGGCTTTGTTCTTGAAATTGAGCAATGATATCTCCAATTGTCCTTATTTGAAACAAGATTCAAAATTCAAGGTCAAATGTGTCACAGTTGAAATTGAAAAGTCAGAAACTAAAGTGACACGAGTTCCAAACTATAGGGATTAGTGTAATTTGCCCTTCAATCTAATAATTGTTCACATCTTATTTCCTTTGTTGACAAGAAATGTTTTTTTGATAATAGAGTATCTGGGCCAGCGTTTTGTAAGACGCATATCTCGATTAATCTCAAGGTCCTGAGCCGATCGATCAGGTAAAGATGCAGTGGCCCGCTAGTAATCCAGCTAAGGGTGGTAATCGAATTCAAGACGTTCAAGGTGCTATTCAAAATTCTGAAATCTAACATAACAAGAAATGTTATTTGAAGGAATTAAAGATGGTTATCACAATAAATTGAGTGGTGCTATTCAAATTTAAAAACTAAATCATTTTTCTAGTTTAATGATCAATGAACCAATCACTTTTATATGTTATTTTTATTTCTCATATATTCTCTAATTAATCAATCAATCATCTCATTTATATATTATTGAGTCAAAAAAAAAAAAATAAAAAATAAACTTATATATCAATTTTGTTTTCTAAACAAAGACCAATAGTTGTCTTAGATTTCAAAAATGTGTACAAAGTTATGACAAAATAGCAAGAAATCTAGTTTGATTCTCTTAAAGACATAAGCAAGAGCTTGCAAATCAACTTTGATTTTGCCAACTCATCCAAATATAATGATTTTCAATAGATACAATTAATAAACAACTATTAATTAAATTTACCAAATTCCTCAACACAATTCACAACCTTAATGTTGTGTTTGGTTGGAAGATTTGAAAAAAGAAAGAAAAAAGGTAAGTAAAATATAATTACATTTCACATAGTTTTACATATATAGTATATGACAATTGTAAGTTAATATTGTTGGACACGGTGGACCTAAAATTTTTAAATACATAAAATTTTTATGTGTGAAACTATGTAAAATAAGAAGCATACATATAGTGTATGACAATTGTACCCTTAACGCAATAAGGTAAG